GTACAACACAGTTGGTTTTAAAAACTAACATTAAAAGCCGGCGATTGACTTATAAAACAATTAGTAGAGCATGCACCGTACAATAGTGGAAAATTATTATACTTAAGTTAGATTTAATGCATTAAAAATTTTCCTTCGGGCCTTGTAGGCCCTCAGGTAATTTTTTCAAGCATTAAATCTAACCTTCGTATAATAATTTTCCTATAGTATACTATGCGGAGCCCTACTAATTATCCACCCAAGCCACCATTCTTGAATTACCATAAGATAGGAACAATACAATAAAGACACCATCCACCCAAGCCACGTGATAACAATGCAATAAGAGACACCATTCACCTAGGGAACAGTGAAATTATCCGCCAAGGCACGTGATAACAATACAATAAAAGACACCATCCACCCAAGCCACGTGATAACAATACAATAAAAGACACCATCCACCCAAGCCACGTCATAACAATACAATAAGAGACACCAGCCACCCAAGGTATCATTCTTCTAGAAACCTAAAATTAAAGCGAAATCTGCAACTTTTATCGTTTTTGGTCCAAATAATAAATTCATTATTTTCGTTCGTTAGGATGCAAAGGACTTTAATTTTTATCTTTCAACAACAATAACAATAATAATAAACGTAGATTTAATTTAATTTCCTTGCATCAAATTGCCCGAGTTTATATCCTGTTTTTCATTTTCTGTAATAGTGAATATTTTCTCTGTCTTTATTCCTTTGAATTAGACACGAAAACATCAAACACTGAACCCTGGATCCTACTGTGTGCCTCCATCGGTTCCAAAACCCCGTGGGACTGCGCGCGAGGCGTATTATTTTTTCCCCATACAGTTAAGAAAAATTACCTGAGCGTTTTGGGCGATATATTTTTTTCCATTTTTTTTTACTTTCCAAAAGGAGAACGGGGATGGCCCCCCCCCCCCGTAATTCCGCTCCTGGCCAACAGAGGCGTTGTGTTGTCTCTCGATCTCCCCCATCCTTTTTGACATCTCTGGATCCGCCCCCGATGGATCCATACTTGCGATTTGGATTAAGATGACGTGCTGTTGTCTTTGTAAACAACATAATGATGATAATGATGAAATATTGTTAAAAGGTTTGCAAGTTGAAGTACTGCTGGCGTTACAACGTAGATAGTTCTAAAAAGAATTTCTCTTTTTTTTGGTTGACAAATTAAAATTACTAGCCGCGAAAACAAACATGTGAAATTCAGATATATTTAATTTAACAATTAACGTACCACATGAAAATTTATTAATAATCATTTAGAAATTGATAATATAATTTGTACTATCTTGTTGACATTTCACTAATGGGAACTGCAAGAAAAAGAGAACATTGATTTTGAATAACACATATTGTAAAATTATATTCAAACTAATTAAGATTTCGTAAACTTAAACAATAATCATACTGATACTATACTATGTATAGTGAAGCATCGTAAAAAAAGACAAAATATATACAATTCATACCAAAAAAGGGCCGAAACGACCCAACCGAATTTACCAGAGCTGAAACGACCCGGATTCTGAACAAACTTAAAAAAGGGAAGATGAAGCTTAGTTGGAAATCACCTCCGGTTTTATGTGTACAAAATTTCATGCGCGTCCGTTCAAAACTTGCGACGCTTGACGCTTTTAAAGTTTTTCAAGTTTTGGTAACAAGAACAAGAACAACAATGCGACTCTGGGTCAGCGCTTCGCGCGGACCAAAAAATCCTTCAACTTATATTTTGACACCTTTTGAGCAAAAACTTCACATCAAACCAGAATGGTTCCCCTGAATCCTTAGTGTGAACATCGGTATAGGCCAAACTTCGGTGTAGGTCAAATTGTACCCCAACCATGGAAATATCTTTTTAGGATTCCAATCTGTATCATAACATGCACACTATTTTTTTAGTCGTTACTCAATGCTACATGCATCCAATAGAAAGCTGAATAGTGAACAAATTAAAAATGAAACATATGGTCATTAAATTCGCATCACGAATTATGGGAACATAGTATAAATTGTAGTTTTAATTACAGTACATTACTACTGATTTCATATTTACCGATAAATGAATTTTGCATTGAAAATTACTGATATAAATTTGTTACTGTAAATCATTTTTAGGTAAATAAAAATGAAATTTTGTAATTTTAAAAACATTATACCAACACCCTAATAAGGGTACAATTTCACGCTTTGGGTTATTGTGCACTTGAATAAGGGTACACTTATTTAAGAGTCCCCTTAATAGAGGTTCTACTATATATCAAAGTACAGTACTGTAGTGTCTCGTAACAACAATATCATTTGATAAACATACTTATTAAAGAAAATAATTACCTAAAGCAGCATTAAAATTTTATTTGTATGATTTGTTGGTTTCCATAAGTTTTAATCTGACCGTGATAATTCTGACATTGGTTGCTACTGAGCATCTTTGTCATTTTTTTTTATTCCAAATTGTCCGCTAATTTAGTACGCACTAAGGCGTAAATGTCCCCTAATAGTAGACAAACAAGGAGCTGAGGATATGAGTGAGTGATACAACACTGTAAATGTCTATAACTTTATTACAAGATCAAAACAAACATTTCTGTGTATTTTGAACACAAACACTATTAAACAAATGGCGGTCTGGCTGAGATTATAGTACGGTACTATGCCGGCGCAGAGACAATAGCCAAAATGTTATCAAAATGTTTTGTTTCGAGATTTTTACGGGAATCTCCTGATTTTTAAAGTATTTAATTTTAACACACAAGACTTTCTGTATATTTTTTGGACCCAGATGCGATCACGACCCATTTTTGGTTGCCGATCGTAGCTGAAGTCAATATTAATTAGCAGCGTAATCGGACACTAATTATCAAGATAAGCAGTTAAGCTATCTGATTCTGGCAATTTATTATTTTTCATACTAAATACAGCTATTTTCATTCCTCAATAGTAATTTTTTCCTCGCAAGACATTTTTTGATCTTCTGATAGTGTGGGTAGATTAAAATTTAAAAAGTAATCCTTTATTTGTGCGTTATCAACGTGTTTATTACAGTACAAATTAGTGTTGTATTTAACATGTGGTGAGGCGAGGGATCGGATCAGACGCAGGGAGAAAGTATTAGGATAAACAACAATCCAGTAAAATTACTAGATAAAATATTTTATCTAGTAATTTTACTGGATTGTTATCTCAATACTTTCTCACTGCGTCTGATCCGATCCCTCGCCCCGCCACAATTCAATTAACTTATCTCCCCAACTACACATCAATTCAGTACAGTACATCAGTTTACAGTAATTGCACCAGTAATACATTATATCATATGCAGCATGATATCAAACTTCAGAAATGGTTTTAACAGATAAAACCAGCAATTACTTTAGCATAAAAACATAACGTGTGACAGCGAATTCATCGTCAAATCTGAATTACACACGCTATTTACGCCCTCTACGTTACGATTGGTGATAGAAAATTTACGCCCTCAACAATATAGTTTCTCATTGAAACAACCTGTTCTTTAATATCAGCTGGATTTTTTGCTAAAGTACCACCCTTTTTCTAACCGTTTTTACATGCTTACACGTGATCTAATTTGTGCTCCTTTTGCCTCGCTTTCATAAATCTTTATAACTTTTCTTTAAGCATTGTAATTTTACTTTCTAAAACATCATTACTTTCTAACATTACTTTTTTTGTTAAGCATACTGATGTCATTTTTCTAATTTTCCGTATTTTATTGAATATTCTTAAACTTTTGCTTTTAAAAGTTCCCAAATGCAGATGATCTGTCGAACTGCTTTATCATAGTAAGTAGGAGTAGCTATCTTATTTTAAAATGATATTGACTTTATTGTTAAAAATACTCTTATAGACAAAAATGTAAGATACATATTTATGACAAATTACATGATGAATTTTGTTCTGGTTGGCTTAATGGTTGAAAAGGGTCGCCATACCTCTCCTGTTACTCCTCTTTCTAACAGGACCTTCAGTGGTACAAATAATATTGAAGATGAATTTCATTTTCTTATCAAAAGTTCCTTTTATTCCGATCTTCGTAATGAATTATTTAATTTAATTAGCGAGGGAGCATCACATTTTGATAATTTAAATGATTCAGATAAATTTGTCTTTTTAGTTGGTGCCCATGATTTTGATATTCTTCTTCCTTTTATTTGTTTGTTAATCTTGCTTTTAAGAGGCGTGATATCTAATGTTTATCATTTTTTTTTTTACCTTTACTGTACTCTTGTCTCTGTTGGTGCTGTTCTTTTGTCATTTTCGATGTTTATTTTTATCAAGTATATTTTTTGATAAATAATAAAAGAGAAATAGAGTATATTCAGTGTTTTGATTTTCCGCTTTGGTAATCACTTCTTTGTCTACTTCGTTGCCCTTGGCAACCGATCGATCGCAATCGCCTACGTAGCAGCGGGAAATCTTCCGTTGGAAGACATATGGGCTACGTTCCTAAATTTTCTGATTATGAAAATCTGACCACGATCTTTATAGAGTATTTTCTCTTATGCACTCACTAAACGATGAGCTGGCTTTGTATCTCTCTAAAATCGTGATATTTTGCACTAGTACGTTAGTAAACTGTGTCACAGGCCCTACTGTTTTTTGGAAGCTAGGTTGAGGGTGTAGGCTTCATTGATTGGTAGTTAACAAAACAGAAATTACAGTTTTACAGTACTTTTTTTGTTCCTATTTTTGGGCTCACTCGAAATAATGCGATTCCAGTCGTAAAGTCGTAAATTATTTTTTTCTTATTTTAAAACCGATCCCTTTTGGGTGCATCCTCAAGTTGCAGACTTGTACGTGTTTGTAGCTATACAGATAGATAGTTTATTGGTATGAAAACCTCACCTGGCGAGAGATGTTGCAGGTTCGGATCCCGCTTCAGACACTTTTTCACACAAACATATTTCTGTACAGGTTAATCTAGTTGTATTGTTCTTGGTTAAATGCAAATTTATTTTGAGGATGTACAGACATTTCTTTAAAAATTGTACACTTTCGATTCATAATGGCCATTTCAGAGATCGATCAATCATGACAAAAGAAAACAGTCCTACAAACATGTTTAATGCTGTTGTCTTTTTATACCTTTGTTTAGCGAACCAGTTGCCCGCCAATAATTGTGATTTTGAATAAAAATAACATTTTATTTTTGGCAAATTAGCGCTCTCGTAAACAGGAAAAATGGAAAGTTCAGAAAAAAAAGTTTTCCTTTATTTCTATTACACCCGACACTGCCTTGCAAACACCAAAAATAAGATATGTATATTTCTTCCTAATTATATAAATTTAAAGCATTTAACCATCCCATTACTACACTGTTTACATTTACCAGTACAATTATATTTTCTCCTGCATCTGGATGTATTTGGCAAAACTATTTGCTAAACTAAAAATTCCTAAAAACGGCCTACTCGTGTCAAAAGATTACTGGGTTTTTTAAAGTGCTCATGAACATTTGTGTACTGAACCTACGATGATAGTTTTTATCCGAGAAGATCTTGTTCCACCACCAGGACTATGAGCTCTGCACGTTGAAAAATTACACCTCGCATATTGTTAACAATAATAAATTTCTTTATTGTAAATCTACCAATTATTGATCACTGTTGTTTGTTTCTATAAGCGGGAATTGTTTTATTTATTTTTATTTAATTTATGTTGTTGCATTGAGAAAACAAATAATTAATGAGAACAAAAAAATGATTAATATCACACAAACACATTGAGAGGAAATAATTAAAAATATGATCGACATGCAGATTCACCTAACATTAATATAACCCAGACTTCAGTAGTACCGGTATGCAAATGTGTGGAATACAGTACCCCGTACATTAAAATACTGTAATCAACTAAAGAATAGAATTAACATACAGCACCACTTTTAAAATGCCCTAAATTTATAAATGCCCTTATTTTTATAAATTTTAGCAATGGTACGACAAGTTGTTTAGACGTCTTGAAAGAATGTTACTTTTTGTTTTTTTCACAAAAAAAAAGAACAAGTTGCTAAACCCTCGTGCCGTACCCTCGTTCAATAGATAAGTATATAAATAATGGTCCAAAAAAAGTGAAAAGAAAGAGTCGTGACAACGGCCGTACAGGCTACTCAGCTAAAACCAAAAATAGGAAGCTGTATGTTAACATATACTACATGCAAGTCAAGGTAAAACCAATGAATAGCTTTACAAAACATGTAGGCGAACTAACAGTCGAGCGCAGCTAGAGACAAGGTCTCCCATTAACCTAGACTGGGTTCCAGTCCCTAATCTTTGTCTTAATCAGTTGAAATGCTTAAGAATAAATCGATTTTGACACAAATGGCGTTCCATATTACTTATTTGCATGGCGTTCCATAGTATACTTTTTCTAGGATTAGGATTCTGGGATTAATTCTTATCAAAAAAGTTTCTCAACATAAACTGATGCTGGTGGCGCATTCCGAAATGCGCTAATACTGTACTACGAAAAATCCATAAAATTAGAGACTTGTGGCAAGTCTACCAATAACCCAAAGCTTCGAATAACTCTACCAACGAACTGCCAGTAAATGTCAATATAGTTTTCATCTTATAATGCTTATGCGGACGTAATATGAGCACCAATCTATTCCCACCTTATTATTGTTCGCCCGACCTATTCCCGCCTTATTATTGTTAGCCTAATTACTGTCGCTGTAAAGGAAATTAAGTTTTACCTAACCTTCCCATCATGCTCGCTGTAAAGTGATTTGTGATTTTTTTTTCAACGCAAATTACCTTTTACATATTTTTTACAGATTGTTTATGCTAGATAATTAAGCTGTGAGGTTAAGTTGAACATAGGGTACATGCTCGATTATATAAACTTCAGTTAAATTATTTTTTTAAATGAATACACAGACATATTGAATAATTGTTTACCCCGGAAGAAAGTGTTGCAAATTTGTGTCCCATAGGCTCTGATTATCCAGACCACGAAATACTAAAATTCGCCGGGAACTAAAATTCGTTCTACACCGGAATGACTTCATAGGCTTTCTGGAATAGGATTTTTTTTAAATCTAATATTTTACCATCAAAATGCACTAAAAACTCAAAAGGCTTAAGCTCGCATTATATAGTTATCGAACACACATTTAATCAATTAACATTTACAAAGAAAAAGTAAGATACAATAACATTTCAATATAATAATTAGGCCTACGTTAGAAATTGGGATCAATGGTTTGTGAGTGGAGAAATAATACCAGTTACAATTCCAGAAACAATTATTGGACATGTGTCTAGAACTCCATTCCTTCATATGTTCGCACGACTCTCATCCATCAGTAATCCGTATATTCTCCTTCCTTGGTTCAATGCAGCATTTATTCTTTCTATTTAATTTTAATGATCGTATTTTGTAACGTTTTAATGTATTTTTATGTATTAGCTGCAGGATCAATTAGGAAATGTTATTTAATTATTGAGCATGGTGGAAATGACGAAAAATACAACAATAACAGCTGAGCGGTTGGCTGAGAGGTATTGTTTCTGCTTCTTGTGCTGAAGACCCAGTTGTTTTAATTGGAGTATAATATAAGAAAGTATAATACATACTCCAAGTATTGAAATACACGCCATCGTGTTGGGATTCAATATTTCGACATTAATTATGTCATCATCAGGAATGAGAGTATAATATAATCGCCTGGCTCCTCGAATAACGAGGACACCTCACGCACACCTACGATACGCTCTCCGTCTAGCAGCGTCGGCCGATTTAAACACAACTTAAGTAGCAGATTGAGAAAAATTAACACATTTCCATTTCAAAATAACTTTTATTTCAACAATGTATTTAATTAGTGTGGATTAAAACAAAATAATAGAAAAAAATATATGAAGGAATCAAATTTAAAACAATAACAAATATTGAAAACATTTAACATTCCTAAACATGTAACTTCCTCAAAATTGACAGTTGTGCATTGTATTACATTTCACATGGGAGAAATAATTGTACCATTATTATTCATAAAGGAATATCTTGTGTATTAAATTTTACCTTTATCTTTCATTTACTTACTCATTAAAAATCCCATTTTAATGAACCCAATGATTAATAATAATAAAAAAAACACGTGTACACAGGTGTGAATTTTACTAAAAAGAACAGATTTCAAAAACATGGTATGGAAATACAAAACAAATTAATAATACCAAAATATAGTTTTAGCACATCTCAAAAGCTGAGCTGGTAAATGTCAGATACGTAATATTTGACTACAGGGCATTCTGCATTGTTTATTATTACTTTCTATCTTTTTTTTCAATATAGGTTTCTCTTAACATCGCTATTCAGCATATTTTGTGGGGTAGACAACCGAAGTCACTTCCAACAATAATAATAATCATTCTCAGCTCGTACATGTATTTTATATATGACTAGGTAATTTTACTTTGAATATTATTATTCCTTTCTACTCTTTTCAATATGAAGTCTCTTCCAACATTGGTTTCTCATACAACAAAATTAATCAGCATGTTTTCTATGGTTATACATGTACAACCAAAATCAAACTGAGTCTACTTTCTTTCAAGAAGGGGGTACAACCCAGTTTCAGATACAGGAAATTGCTATTTTTTTATGTGTGCCACAATTCAAATGTCTTTTCAAGCCGTGATTGTATTTAAACCTCTGTCCACATGGTTTACATTCATATGGAGTCTCACCAGTGTGTACTCTTAAATGTGTTTGCAAGGCAGTTTTATAAAGAAACTTCTTTCCACAATGTTCACATTCATACGGTACGTCACCTGCATGTATCTTCATGTGCCTTAAATAAGACTGTTTAAATAAAAATGTCTTTCCACACTGTTTACATTCACTAGAAACGTCTGTATGTCTGGTTACATGATGTTTCATACTACTACTGGCTGCAAATTTCTTTCCACAATATTCACATTCGAATGGCTTCTCTCCAGTATGTGTCCTTAAGTGTGTTCTCCAATTGTTCTTGTGCGTAAATTTCTTTTCACATTTTTCACATTCAAATGGTCTTTCTCCTGTGTGCATCCTTAAGTGACTTTTCAACTCGTCCCGTCGAATAAACTTCTTTCCACAATGTTCACATGCATGACGTTTCTCACCTGTGTGCATCTTTAAATGTCGTCTAAAACTTCTGTTAAGTCTAAATTTCTTTCCACAATGTTCACATTCAAATGGTGTTTCTCCTGTGTGTATCATTATATGTGCTTTCAAAGTGCCACTGGTAATACACTTCTCTCCACAATGTCCGCATTCGTACGGTCTTTTTCCTTTATGTATGCTTAAATGAGATTTCAAATTGCTATTTTCATTAAATCTCTTTCCACAATATTCACATTCAAATGGTCTTTCTCCAGTGTGTATCCTTAAATGAGTATTAAATTTGACAGTTTGTCTAAATCTTCTACCACAATATTCACATTCATATGGCTTCTCTCCAGTATGTGTCCTTAAGTGTGTTTTCCAACTGTTCTGGTGCGTAAATGTTTGTCCACATTGTTCACATTCATATGCTACTTGTCCTTTATGTTTTGTTAATTGTATCTTCAAAATCTTGCCTTGATTGATCTTCATTCCACAATGTTCACATTCATATGCTGTCCTTTCTGTAAGTTTCCATGAGTGTGTGTTCAAATTCCAACATTCATTGGACATCTTCCCTGTTTGTATTCTCAAATGTTTTTCTAATTTACATCTGCCATCAAATTCCTTTGCACAATATTGACATTGAGATTGCGCTTCCTCTATTTTAATTCCTAAATGGGTTTCTCTAAAATGTTCACATTTATATTCCAAATGTTCATTGTTTATTTTTAAGTGTTCCTTTAAACTATCAAATTTATGTTGTTCTATACTGAATACATTTCTGCAGTTATCCTCATATTTCATACATTTATCATTACCTTCAATTTCTTTTTGTGACCTCACAGGGTTTAACATTGATGAAATTGTTGGAAAAAAATTTAGAAAACTTTCTTCATGGTTAATATCAAAAACAGAGCATTGGCCTAGAAGATAAAAAACAATGTTGCTTTGGAATTTATTATTATTATTATTATTATTTATTATTTATTATTTATTATTTATTATTATTATTTATTATTTATTATTATTATTATTATTATTATTATTATTATTATTAATTATTATTATTATTATTATTATAGTTATTGTTATTATTATTATTATTATTATTAAAGAATCATATTTCAAGAAAATAAAATGAATAAACAAAGATAATGAAATGAATAGACCAATCAACAGTTAACAAAACGTTATGTATTAGGAAAATATGCTATTTAAGGTCTTACAAAAAAAAATGTTCTGTACACTGCAACTTTTTCATGTTATAACTAAAAACAAACTATGACAATCTTCTCCCCAGTCTGCGCTTATGTGAAAAGTTTTAGTCTAATTCTAGGGGCCTGTCACGCCAAAATTGTTCCGGGTCAAAAAAGGTCCGGCGGACAGATTTTGGCCGCCAAGAGTCGGTCCGCCGGACTACTTTTGGTCCCACCGGGTCGATTTTAGCCGCTAAAATCGGACCCCCTTGGATAAAATTGGTCCGTGGGCCTGGCCGCTGGTAACGCGTACTGCTGCCCGTGGGGTATGATTGTTTCTCCCGTGGAGTGGAGGGAAGCAATTTACATGCTTCCCCCACACTTGAAAAGATCTTTTGCAGTGACAGAATGATTCGTATTAAGCTTTTGTAGACGTGTTTTATCAAGCACTCATGATAATGCATTTCCTAGGCACACAGCATGCATCCTTTTCGGCGGCCGTGCTTGGCTAGATTTGGGCCTAATGAAATACAAGACTTATTTATTAGCTTTAAATATTCCATATTACATATTGTGTGGGGTAATAGGTCATACAATAGTTGTTCCATTACATGAAAATAAAGGGGTTAATAATTTCTTTGAAATGATTACTTATGTATTTCGTCGCGTCGTTAAGCCTGTTTTCCACAAGGCGAATTTATTCGCGCGAATCAGAGCGTCGGTTTGCTTCATGAGCTCTGATTGGTTGTGCATTTTTTCGCTTCGATAGAAATGTGAATGCGCATGAACCGACGCTTTCGATTCCCGCGAATAAATTCGCCTAGTGGAAAACCAGCTATAAGCAAGCACACAACCAAGACAAAACAAGGTAAAAAATTAACTAAAGCGGACCAACACGATTATCATATCGTTTAACGTCTTTTCTAACTTTTACACCAAGGAGTTTTAACTGGGTGCGAACACTGATCTCTACTATAATAGCTATTAAAGGGCGCAAAGAGTGAAAATAACATATTGATTTTTGTGGCTGCATTTGGCAGGTAATTTTAAAGCCAAAATCGGTCTGGCGGACCGATTTTGACCCCGGACCAAATTTTTCCTGACACCTACTACATAACATTGATATTAAAGTTCGAAACATCAAATCATGGCCTCTGTCTCTTTATTTGGAGTTATTTTATTTTGATGTGATTGAGAATTATCAAGCACAATATTTACAAACTGGACTTTTAAACCCGGGCGCGATTTTTTCCCATACCAAACATTTGCATGAAACTCCACTCGGGCCGTCTCGTATTGACTCGACTCGAGTTTGATAAGATAATTATTAAGTTTATTATTAGGAACAAGAGAGAGCAGGCATTTCGCAATGTCGTGATGTTCGAGTATTACTATTGTTCTTTCTATGTTTACCTACGGTAGGCCTATGAAATCTTACGATTTATGGGGATGTACAGTACGTGTGTAACCAGGGAGTTGTTATAGTGGTCACTATATTAACTCCATGGTGTAACTAACTGTGGGCTTCTTGTATGTTATCAAATGTTAGCATAATAATATTTAAAACAGCAGCTAGTACCCCCTTCTATAAAGTGTAGTACCAGTAAAGACGTAAACCTAGCAGGCCTAACTACAGGCTAAGTTACTGGTAGGTCTAGCGCTCCCTCCCTATAGGCCCATTATTTAGGGTCCTAGCATTTGGCATTATCGAACTTGGCCTAGCCTTGTAATGTAATTAATATTAAATAAATAATAATAATAATAATAAAAATAATAATAATAATAATAACAATAACAACAATAATAATAACAATAATAATAATAACAACAATAATTATTAATAGTAGTATTTAGTACGTCATTGTTATTGTTAGCTGAGTAGTAGTAGTAGTACAGGCCCGTAGCCAGGTCATTTCAATGGGGGGTTCTCTGGGCGTTGGATCCAGGGCCTGCCTAAGGGCCACGAAGCCAGAGCAGTTTTTTGTGTTTAATGGGTCTATATAATGTTATGAAAGCAGTTAAACCTAAACTTTAATTACAATTATTTGTATTATTTTAAGACTTTAACATAATACATACTGTTAATAATAGCTGAGATTTTATGCACATTTCAGAATTAATAATCGTATTTAGTATATCTTACTGAATATTTATTGTCTACCAAATGAAATATGAATTATATATGAATCCTTAAAAATACAATTTATACAATATTAATCTTGTTTTTATATAGATAAATTCTATCTTTCATAAAAAAAAAAAAACAACGAAATTCAGCGCGTCTATTTTTATTCCAATCAATGGCGTTTGTAAACGTGCACTGACGTCATCGTCGAATCTAAGGATTTTCGACGGTAAAGCTGGCATGCCTGCCTAGGTCTCAGGCCAACCAATAATAATAAACAAAACGTATTTTCTTTAAATATAGGCCTATGGCGCATCCTGTACATGCACTTTAACTTTTACAACAAAAGCCTAGGCCTATAGTAGTACGTCCTACTATACTTAGGCCTAGGCCTAAACACTAGTTTGTTGTCGTCGGGGTATAATTCTGTCTCTAAATGAACAAGGAGCGAACCAAGCTAGTCAACATCTTGGCTAAACTAATTGATTTTATAATCAATAACCCACCTTAAAGGACTATCTGTCGTTTTCTTCTTTGCAACAGCGGACGGACGAAAAAAAGTCTATATTCTACGTTATGATTCTTTATCACTAAAAATTAACCAACTCCGACTGACGCGCTCTGTTCTGTTGTGTGTGTCTGCTGTTGAAAACAAACTTCCTAGCCTAATTTTGTGACTGGCTATGATGACTGAGATGGACCATGTTGATTTATTAGTAATATTTTGTTTGGGATGGGAAAAAAGGAGAGTCAATTTCCCAAAAATGATCCATCAGCACATAGTTTAGTGTGCACTATGGACAGTGTGGCTATGGAATTTACTAACCACACAATCCACAATCAGGTGATTAAGTCCCAAAACTTTATCTGCATTGGTTGATTAAGTCGCAAAACTTTAGCTTCGTTTGGTGGCACCATTTACTCTAGGTAGACGGAGACCGGTTTCGGTACCGGTTGGTACATTTCTTACAAACATTCAGCCAAAGGCCAGTGAAAGTTGAGATGGCAGCCGGGTTTTTATCGATGTTTTCCATCCTTATGTGAGATATTCTATGAATGTAGGTTTGTATCAATTGCTACAATTTAAAGACGTATGACCAAATAATGAATTAGGTGCTAAATTTTGATTGTTAATGCTGGGTAGGGCGAAATTCGAGGGGGTTCGCTAGAAAAGGGGGGTTTGCCCGAACCATAAAAAAAAACCCCCTTGCTACGGGCCTGTAGTAGAGTAGTAGTAGTAGTATTAGTAATAATAATAATAATAATAATAATAGTAATAATAATAATAAGAATAATCATAATAATAATAATAATAAACAACAATTAAATAATACAGTAATATTTCGGCATACAATGATATTTACTAGGCCTATAATTCATAGGCCTAAGCCTAATACATTGGTGCTCTGTCTTCTTGGCAGGTCCATGGCACCCAGTATTTTAGAGCTGCCTATTCTCAGCTTTTCTTTCAATAACATAACTGTCACCCTGTTTCATTTGATAAATAAAAGCCGGTCTTTTCCTTCCTCTTTGTACTTTCCCCTGAAGCGCCTTCTAAAACGAGTGATCACATTCTCTTAGTACATGACCAACCCAAACTCATGCCTGTATAATTTTTTTTAGGTTTAGGTATTTACAGGTGCGGATCAAGTGGGGAGGGGGGAGGGATGAGGGCCGAGTGGAGTTTCATGCACATTTTTCATACGGAAAAAAATCTGGGTTAAAATTTAGGGGCCCAAATTTTTCCCTAAAAAAACCGAAAAGAAAGGAGGGTCCAGGGTCCTCCTCAAGAAAATTCTTAGATGGCGAGAAACAAGAAATTCTCCAAGGGGTCATGACCACTGACCTCTCAGATCCGCCAATTGGGACCTTCTGTTGTCTAATCAGATGACGCCAAAAATTTGGCCACTGGAGCTTCGTTAATTAGAAGCCACTGATTCTCGGGAATACAGATAATTTCGGTCGCGCTTCGTTTCGGTCGCGGTTCATTTCTAACATGGAGCGCCAATAGAGTTGCGAAAGGGCAAAATCTAATACGCTGTATTCCTATATCATTGTAAGTTATAACATGAATGAATGAATGACTCAATCAATCATTCAAAAAATGTATATACATATAATATATATATGTATCAATAAAGCTAATGAAAATACAAATATATATATATTATATATATATATATTATAATACAAATAGATAAACCGATTGACGAACTTAATATTGGCATATTTTGTAAACTGAATATATATTTTATGTAGGCCTACAAGCAAAATATAGTATATAAAAATGCCATAAATAGTAAAGTATGTTAATGAAAACACAAACAATATGATAAAAAGTTTGATTTTGATAAATAATATGTTGTTAATGATAACACAACAAAACGAAAATAACTAGGCCTAGTAAATAACCCCGATGCGCTTTCGCAACTCCTTTGGCGCTCCATATATGTTAGAAATGAACGAAACGAAGCGTGACCGAAATGATCGGCTACCAGTTTCACACAGTGCCACACATCAACATTGACTTCATAATTGCTATATACACATACGGCGCATATTAAAAATGTCACTAAAAGAAATCTGAGCATAAAAAACATTTTCATCTTGTCCATTGGTTATGCTGAAAATAGAACTAACCTGGTTCAACTTTAATTCCATGATTCAGTGCCTCATGCAAATTGACTTTTTGTTCCGACATACTGTAGCTAATATTTTCTCACATTTAATTTAAATCTTTGAGATAAAGTTCTGAAAGGAAGAAAATAATAGATTAAATTCTTTTCACCGGGAATAATTTTTGTTACGATGTACAGTAACACCTGAGTTGCTAATTGGGAAATATGTGCTGTGTATTTCTAACCATTAATAGCCTGCTTGTAAAATCATGGACCTAATAATTAATAGGTCCATGGTAAAACTGCTGAAATGAAGTTTAGTGGGGAAAAATACAGGAAATTTATTGTTTTTGCTGAATCAGTGTACCCTAGTGTCTTTGAAAAATATAATCTCAATCCGTAGGCCTTGGGCAATTCTTTTTATTGGTCCAAAATACCCTATTTTGGACCAATTAAGATTATAATCGGGGGAAATAAATGCTTTAGTCACTTTTACATATATATTAAATGTAACAAAACATGGCTAAATAGTTATGTATTGGATCGAAATGATGACGTCATCACGACAAATTCAAAGATGGCGTCATAGTGGCGGAAAGTAGGTCTACATCTTTATGTAAAAATAATTTTATTGTTATAAGAGTACAAATGTAATTTCAAAACAATATTATAAAGGTACATACAGGAATAAAGTAACATATATAATTAATGAATTACCACAATAAACCCAATGGAACTGAAAAAGCTATCTACCAAACTCGTAAATACATTGCAATTAAAAAACTTATGGTCAACGTGCTTTTTCTTTTCCAAACCCCCTTCATATGGAATTCCTTGCCGCTTTCTGTTCGCGATTCGTCTAATTTGCTTTCTTAAAAAAAAAAAAAAAAAAAATTAAAACTTACCTATTACTGGAACGTTTACTTGCTTTATCTCCTCACCTAGCGTCTTTGTTTTAATATTTTTTTTGAATTGGCGCTATTTAAATATTTATTATTACTGCTTACCCAAGGGCCTAATAACTTTGTTATCCATCTTACTACATTCGATTGGCGACAAGTAGATAGTACAGTAGGCCTGTATAGGCCTATGTTTTATGTTAATGCTGTGTGTAGGCCTATAACAGTGTTTGAAGTCTGCATTTGTACTTTGATAACAATGAAAATGAACGCCATCTTGGAATTTGTCGTAATGACGTCATCATTCCGATCAAATTTTGAACAAGAATGAAGATGATAATTATTTAGCCAAGTTCTTATTAACCTGATACAGTATCCATAAATTTACTTACGGTATTAAAAACAAAAATATATTTCCCATAAACCTTTCTTAATGAAAATTTCCAGTGCTATACAAAATTTCCAAGCCGTAGGAATGGGGATTTCTTTTCTATACGGACTCCAGCTGCTAGTGTTTTACCAGGGAGTAATATACAACAACAACGACCTGGACATCCTGAAAACATAAATTCTGGCCCAATATGTTACTTTAATTTTCTTTGCTGGTCAGTGGTATCGGGTCCGTGAGGGCCTCACGCCTCAGCATCCCACCCACTCAAATTTCTCGACAACAAAAATACACACACATTACCTTAATATGCTGCCTACTAGAGCCCCATAAACTTCAAACCCATTAGGCACACCACTGATACATAATATCAATATACCTCCTTGATAACATATTGTACTTAAAATATTATTCAAGAATGTTTACTGCTTGTTCTTTTTCTTGTCTCATAAAAAATAAACTGGTCTTGAGTTTGGTCTCTTTGTTACTTCTGTTAGGCTATGTATCGAACAGATTTTAAACAAGGAGTGTCCAATCAGAATTAACGAATAATGCCCAATCAGAATTAATGATTAATGCCCAATTAGAATTAATGAAGTGTGTACCATAATCAACCAGGTTACGGTACAGGAAGTCAGTCACCGACTGATTACAGGTCTCACTCCAATTAAAGACCACTACAATTAAAATCTCCCTTAGTTAAAGACTATGGGTTTGGTGGACCCACCTGATAAGTTTCCTCAAATTTAAGACCACTATAAAATAAATATTGGTGTCGATGCTATTTTTTCTATAATAAATTTTGTTATAAACATAAAAATGCACATAAAAGATTTTGTTAGTAATATTTTAATAGAAAGTCGGTTAAAACTGTTACAGACTTCAATATAACAGTATACAATAACTGTACATCCACTCTATAATAATTAATGAATTATTTCTTAATTTCCATATAAACAGAGAAATCTAAAGACAACATTTAGTGCCGCTCTTTCATTTCAGACGCCGAAGATGGATGGATTTGGCAGACCAAACTGAAAATTTCTCCTACATCAGACGATATTTTGTGTTCTTTTTAATTATCCAATTCGTTTTTTAGACGTTGATGATTGTATTCGTGTAATTAATTTTTGAGTAGAACGTGGCTACCAATGAATGGTTTATTAGGAAGGTAATACTGTATAAAGATAAAGCTGCTCCATTTCTTTGCTTATTTGCTTCCTTCTTTAGATCAGTACTTCCCAACTGAACCTCTTTCATATGTCGCGTTTGATTTGTCAAAAATGTTGGACGTCGCTGGTGATGAGTACATTTGAGAGGTAGATAATTACAAATATCTTGGAACCTATCTATCATGTAACCTGAGTGAACATACTCATTATGAATATGTCATTAAAAAAAGGAAATCGCCTAATTGCATATATTAAGGCAATCATTGACAATTTTGACGATTTCAATCGCGTTTATTATGGTAACGTTTTATGGAAGACTATTGCTCTACCATCTATTAACTATGCTTGTGCAACTTAGTGTAATACCTCAAATGATAATGATAAGTTTGAGCACCTACAAATGCAAATGGTCAGATATATCCTTAAGGCCCCATGCTGTACACCACAGGCAGCCCTTTATGGCTAACTGGGGTTGTCACCATTATCTACAATGCATAACTTGAGTAGAATTAAAATTTTATATAGAGTTATTGACATGGATTTAACTCGTTGGCCAAAATTATTATTAAATACTATGTTGAGCTTTAATTGTAACTTTCGAAGAATTCAGATTTAAATGTTTAACTGGTTCCGAGAATATTCTTGAAAAATGTGATCAGCAGCATTTCTTTGAGAATGTCCTGGACTATTTTGGCACTAACCACCAAGCACCCTTAAATTTTCATCAACTTACTAATGTTTTGAAAGATATATCTGATCTATCAAAAAGACAATGGCTAGAAAACCTTCATAGTAAATCTTCATTGGTTGATTATGCCAAGCTCAAAAGTTCCCCATGCTTGGATTGGTATCTTCTTGATATGTCAGATTTTAAAGGGGCTAGTTTGAAATTCAAATTGCGATCAAACACATTGCAGTTGGATAGAAAAACAAGTAAGTGGTCAGCTGAAACCACAGGGTTATGCACATTGTGTAATAATGGTGATGTTGAAGATGTTAAACATTTTCTTTTCAGTTGTAGTGTGTTTGATAATATACGATTTAAAGAATTTAATGATCTAAAAAAATACCTGGAATTATCAAATAACTGTAATATCTGGTAGTTATTTCAATCATCAGACCTTGATAAAAAAAAATCAATTTCGTTCTGGGAGGTGAAAATACATTACTTAGTGAAGATGATCTTGGAGCCTTTGACAAGTTTTGTAAGAATTACGCCAAGATGGCATGGTTCAAACGTTCAGAAATTAAGTCTGCATCAGTTTAATATAAATATGTTATTACTTCTTGTATTGTTTATTTTGAATATTGATTAGTAGTATTATTTATTGATTTTAGTTGCTTCATTTTGTTAACATTTTTTCTAACTTTATTTGGTACAGTACTGTCTATTTATTTATTTCATACCTTATATTTGTTATACTGTACTACAATGCATGAAATTGTAATTTATATCTGGAAGGGAGTTGGGAGGGGTGGGTATGTGGGGGTATAACTGAATCAAATCTATCTTAGTTTAATTCAAATTTATTATGTTGCTTTGTTTCTGAATTGTTTACCTTGTTTCACTGCATCTATGCATTTTTTTGTATGAAATTGTTTGTTTTATTCTGGTCTGTATGGGTCAAATTTGAAAAAAAAAAGGATTAATTGATCGAGAAGGGAGGGATATATTTGTGTATGTGTAACACAAATGTTTTTTATATATTATTGCACTGTTTTATTGTTCACTTCCCTATTTCTTAGTTTAATTTTAGTTAATTTTAAGTCTGTCAATTTTGTTTTATTTGTATTTATTGTACTGTAATTAAGTGATTCATTGTATTGTATTTAAGTTGAACGCACCACCCTTGAGCGCCGCCGATCTAAAGGCGTATATTCACAAAGTAAATAAAATATGTGTGTAGTTAACGCGTACGTAGGGCCTACTCAGGAGCACAGAGATCAGCATATATCAAAGATACTAGAAGCACAAGATAGAGCACTCGCATAGTAAAAATGAGGCAGAAATCGTACCCGACGTAGGCGGTGCCCTTCTTTTCAACCATGCAAATTTTCTATACTTCGTGCCCGACGTACAGGGCGCCCTTCTGTTGCTAAGTATATCCAGACGCACACGGCGCCCTTCTTTTTCCACAAATGGAGGAAAACTTTATCACTAGAGTGCGTTCGGCCATACGATTTTGCGCTATATTGTTGTTTTCTATACTGATCCATAGGCTTAATTGTGTGTATTATTTGGATAATAGCAACGATTTCTACCTCCGCCAAGGAATTATGTATTCACCGTTGTCACTGTCTGGGTGCAATTGTACTAATTGTACAATTTTTGAGAACTGACAATAAAATACGCGACGACTTGGTAACGAAAGTTTGGTTGAAGTTTTTTTTAGATCCAGTCGTAAGGGGCGTCCCATTGTTTGTATTCCCACCATGCATTTCTTTGGAACACTTTTTTTTGTGTGGAGAACTCTATCTTGTGTTTCTAGTATCTTTGCATATATCCGCACAGCTAAATGTAATACGCACGCAGTATACTGCTCATATCACTATAGCAACCGATTACTGCTACACTAGTTATCAAAAACTAAAATTAAAAGACGGTGATTGACTTATTAGTAACTTAAGTTAGATTTAATGCATTAACAATTTCCTTCAGGCCTTGCGAGCCCTCAGGAATTTTTTTCAAGCATTAAATCTAACCTTCGTATAATAATTTTCCTATAGTGTACTATGCGGAGCTCTACTAATTGCTTACTATCCACCCAAGCCACCATTCTTGGATTACAATGATAGGAACAATACAATAAAAGACACCATCCACCCAAGCCACGTGATAACAATGCAATAAGAGACACCATCCACCCAGGGAACAGTGAAATTATCCACCCAAGCCACGTGATAACAATACAATAAGAGAAACCATCCACCCAAGCCACCATTCTTGGATTACAATAGGAACAATACAACAATCCACCCACAATTTCTTCGGGCCATTTTTTTAACTTTCCAAAATGGAGGACGGGGATGACCGCCACCCCCACCCCCTTTTTGACATCTCTGGATCCGGCCCCGATGGATCCATATTTGCGATTTGGATTAGGATGATATGCTGTTGTCTTTGTAAACAACATAAAGATGATAATGATGAAATATTGTTTGAAGGTTTACATGTTAAGTAATGCTGGCGGTACAACGTAGATAGTTCTGAAAAGATTTTTTTTTTCTTTTCAGAATGTTTTTTTTTGTTGACAAATTAACTAGCCGCGAAAAAAACATGTGAAATTCAGATATATTTGATTTAGCAATGAAAATACCGCATCAAAATACACAAGCCTTTATTAAGGATCATTTAGAAATTGATAATATAATTCGTACTGTCTTGTACACTTGACTTTTCACTACTGTGAATTGCAAGAAAAAAAAACCATTGTTTTTGAATAACACATATTGTAAAATTATATTTAAACTAATTGAAATTTCTGAAACAATAACAATCGTGAAACTTAAATAATAATCATACTGATACTATACTATCGTCAAACATCGTAAAAAAGACAAAATAAATACAATTCATACCAAAACACACACAAAAAAGCTCTTTAAAAATACAGAACCCAAATAAACCACAGTGCGTACTTGGCGTTCCATACTGCGGCTGTTAATCGCAATCGAAATGCTAAAGCCTGCCGCACACGAGAGCTATCTGCTTACGCCAATTGTCATTCGTGGCATTTGGCGTACGTACATAGCTCTTGTGTGCGGTGCAATTTCGAACGTTTTATGTCATTTGTGGCGCTTGCGCCAAATATCTAGCGTGTGCGGCGAACAAAAGCTATCTGCTTACGACTTA